CGATCAATGACAGGCAGAATTACACGTCCAAGGCCGTCAGGGAAGTGTAGGGACATATGCAACAAAACTGTGCAAATGGAATTGAAAAGCCGTTTCAGCAGGATTTCTTTTTCTGTTGGGGCCACTGAACTGCGTCTGTCTAGCCTCTGAACACAGACCCTGTCACCTTGTGACAAACTTTGTGTCATAAACAGAATAGGCAGAGTGTAGTTTTTCATCACGATAGCCTAAAACAAGAGGAAAAATTATATCACCAAATAAATCTGATGTTGAATAATATGAATTGTTTCATATCGGATTTTCAAGTGTTACTTCTTTTTATGTTTTCTTTATAAAAAGGCCTGATATTTAGGCACTACTTGAATAAAGTGGTCCACTCATAAAAATAATTTTTGATGGAAATAATTTCTGTTGATTAGTATTCTTCGGACCGTCCTTAGGCTGTGACACTTGTCAGAATCAAAAATATTGATTTGTTATTGTTTTAAAAGAGGAGGGCCCCGTTTATAATATTGATTTAGTATCAAACTGATCCCTGACTTTTACATGGAGGAGAACAACATTTTTCCTTTAATCCACTGCATATGCTGCCACTGCCATTGATTCAGGTATGTTAGCGTACAACAAATTTATTCTTAACTGCCACAGATGGTTAGTAGTTACGATAATACATTCATCATTACAACTTTTTATTCTTAACTGATTGGTCTTCTTAGGCTGAATCACTTAGTTGTTATTATTTACAAACTGCAAATTGGAAAATGTGATGACATCATTGATATCTACGTAAGTTTTTAATTTCTACATTTTTTTTTTTAACCATTTTTAACTTATTTTTTAAATTTTCAAAAATTTTTGTGGATATTTTTTTGGAAACAGGTGCATAAACACTTGAGGTTCATAATTATCTTTTTTAAATTAAGGATAAACGGGTACACAGTTTAATTAAATTTTGTAAATTTTTGATCTTTACTTAAAAAATATTTCTGTTTTGTTAGCTAAGAGAAATGGTTTTGTAACTCAACCTTAAAAAAAAGTCTGTTTGTGTATGTAAAACAATACAATAACTCTGTAAAAGATCAGGGATCAATTTGACACTGTATTAATTTTATAAACAGGAATCCCATTCTTTTAAAACATTAACAATATTTTTCAATTATGACAGGTGTTACAGCCTAAGGAAGGTCAAAAGAATGCTAATCAATAAAGAATATTTCCCCCAAAAGTTTTCCCTATTTTTTATGAGTGGATCAGTCCATTTTTTATGAGTGGACCAGCCCATTTGAGAAGTCCTGATATTTCAATGGAAAGCTTATTTTTTATTATGGATTGTATAAAATGACAGTTACTATTTTAATATTTGTCAGGTAGGTGACTTTTTGATGTTATTGGTCTGTGGAGGTGATCACAGCAAGTGACACCTTTGGAAAGTGCCTGAAAACTAAATCACAGATTGACCCAAGCCTTGTGAATTAAGTCAGGTAGATGGAACTGTTAATTGATGTTTGTGCTAGCATGAAGTTACAAGTCATCATGACTGAGGGTTTGCGTGTACTAGTTTTCTTCAAACTGTTGATCCCACCAGATCCCACAAATTGCACCATGAGCACACTTATCACTCGGGAGAATCCTCAACTAAACTGAGGTCTTGTGCTTGGTTTATGTATAGCAAAGTCATTTGCATGAATGACAGAGGGATGTAATAGAATACTTTATAGATTCACCTATCATCAGCTTCACACTCTTCACTACTTGTTTTATTTTATCAGGAGTAGAGGTTTATCCCTTTTTCCCTGTCCAGGATTAGGTTTCCAGTTCCTTCTAAAGTCTTTTCATTCTCTGTCACTCCTAGTAGCCCCTTGCATCTTAGTGGTATTATCATCTTGCTTGGGGTGAACTGATTAAAAAAAAAAATTCCAGCAATTTTTCCTTGCTTTTTCCAATCTAATATACACATATACAGGTATAAATTTTTTTTCTTTTTTATTTATTTGGAAAACTACTTATATTTCTATACACCTGTGTGTCCTGGGTAAGACGATAAACTATATCTGACAGCAAGGCCTCTGATCAATAGGTTTTGAATAGCGTGGAACCATCTCTTAATTGCTGGTGTTCCCAGGTCCACCCTGACCTGGGGTGGTAGTACCTTTAGGGTCCCAACTATGGACAAATAATTAATCCCTCAAACTGAGGTGAAAACACTGTGAAAGTGTAAAAATAGGTTTTAATACCAGCAATGAATTTTTTAAAGAAAAATTATTACCAGCAATACATTCTTAAAGGAAAAAAATATTAAAAGCAATACATTTTTGTAAATAATTATTACCAGCAATATATTACCAAAAATGCATTTTTGAAGGAAAAAGTATTACCAGCAATACATTTTTGGAAAAAATATTACAAGCAATAAAAATCTTGTCAGCATAAAATAACCCATTGAGGTTGATAAGCCGTAAAAGAAAACAAACCAAACCATAACCTGTTCAAAAGTTTATGTTTTTTTTTTTTAAAGTAAAATAACCTTACCTGGACAACAAGTGGCCAAAGAGGCTCTGGTTGACTGACCAGCAGTTTTGTATGGATATACAAGGCGACAGTAGTTAGAAGATCACCATAACTATACACATAAAAAAAAAAAAAAAAGAATCAGAAACAGAATGTGTTAAAACAAATCTATCCAGCAATGGAAAAAAAAACTATTACTAGCTAGTTTGCTGCTATGTTTATGTCCTATCCCCTTAGAATAGGCAGAGGGTGTGATGGACCCGAACATTCATATTGGGAAGGCAAAGAGTGAAATAAAAATTTAGTTTATAAAATTTGAAATTGTTAACTTCATTGTACAAGTACCCTAGAGTCCCACAAGCTGGTGTGAATGTAGATCTGTGTTTTGATAAGTGAGACAGGAGTAAGCCCCCCTACTTGAGTCTTAGGGACATACAATTAAGGAGTTGGTCCCAGCATCACCAAACCTCTGCATATCACTACCTAGAAAAAATATGGTTAAATATTTTCTTAGGCTTACAAAATTTTATTATAACCATTATAAAAATAGGAGCTACAGAGAAGGACTTCCAACAAGATGGAAAGAAAGCAGTGAGACATTTATTGTAAACTTTGGAGAGAACAGAAGCCAGTTCAGGAGCACATTTCTTTAGGATGACTGCAGGGATACCATCGAATCTGCATGCCTTGTGGGGATCTAGTTTAGAAACGATAGCAAAAATAAAGGATGGAGTTATGTGCATGTCACTCAGTAGAGACTCTGTTCTAGGGGGGGGGGAAATTGAGCAGAGATACTCTAGAGAATGGATCTGGAAAAGAATTTACAAGCAAAGCATTCTGCATTATCTGCAGTAGATGTCAATATTTCAAATTTATTGAAGAGGGAGGGACTGAGGATTTGCTTTTGTTCTGCACAATCTTGCAGAGCTGCCAGTAATCGCTATGACCAAACTTGTGAGAGGCTATATGGCATCTGATTCTATCAGCAAATAGTGACCATAAATGACAATTCTTTTTCCATTCAGCTATTCTGTTATGTCCGTGAAATATCAGTGCTGTTTTTTCACAAATTTCACAATGCCTATAATGGTAGAAATGTAATAGGAGAATAAATCTTTCTTCCCTAGCTCTCCTCTTGTTACAACAGTAATTATAATATTGTTTTCTTGCTCTTTAATAAAAAAAATGCCAGTTTTAATTGGCTATAATAGAAATATAGTTGAAAAATAAATTTTAACTTTATATATGGAGGTGTTAAAAATAATTCTAATCTGTTTTGTCACAATTATTAAGTGGCTAAACAGTTGAAAAGAGACAAAAACTTTTGGACATTTCTTACATGCATTAACTCTGCTGATTTGCATTCAATCATATAAAAACAGGAAAAATAAAAATCAAATAATATTAATATAATATTGTGAATAATAATAAAAAATACTTGTCTGTGGCTGAAAAGAAAACAGTTTGCTTATCTCTCTCTCGATATATATATATATATATATATAGCCAAATGTAAAAGAACGAGGAGTAAGATTTCAGCGTTCAAAACATTAATTTAAAACAGAGCTCAATACAAAAGTAGAGCCGTAAATATTTATTTATTATGCAGTGTTACATTAGAACATGCATAAAAAAGTTTTTGTTTTTTTAATGTTGAAACAAGATGTACAGTTTTGTAGTGGGTATATGCATATTCTAATGTAACACACACACACACACATATATATATATTAGAATTATTTTCTATTTTAAAAATATGGTTCCATCACTACGTAGGAATTACCATGTTTCAAAACAGAAACTAAAATTTTAAATTTAATTATAAAATTAAATTTAAAATTCATAGCTCCATTCCATTCTCAAGCGATTTTTGGAATAACCTATTTAAAAATTTACTTCATTTATAAGCACAAACAATCTTGATATTTTAAATTGTTAAGGTTACAGAAAGTTCAATCATTTTGATAAGGGGTGGTTGGGCTTTAATTTCCCTAGACAACTTATGTAGCAAATATAAGTTACTTTCAAAATCAGGTTAAGTTAAGGTGGGGTAGGGGTTGTCTGCTCAGAAACAATGACATCTGTTTTTTGCATGTTGTCTGGGTTTTTCAATGATAAAAATTTTTTTGCATTTTTATTTGGCTGCTTAATTTATAATTTTATACACAAAGATTTCTTAAAAGGATCATCTAAATATGAGTAAGTTATATTTTTAATATTTAAAATCTATTCCTACAAATTTAAAGTACTTTTCTACTTCTAATAATTAATAGACTATACATTATTTTTTACAAATAAATATATTAGAATTACATTTGTATTTAAAAAAAATTAATCAAAGATGAAGTATAAATATGTATGTTTCATCTTTCATCTTTTTTTCAAAATTAAACATTATTTAAGGAAAATATTTGATAGTGTCTGCAAAAAATAGCTATTTCATTTCTTTGATTAAGTAAATTTTTATTTTCAGAAACTTATTAATGTATAATTTTTCATGTATGCAGAAAGGAAATGAGTCATTTCCATTTTACTGTTAGTGTTTTATTGGTTTCTTTTAAGTTCCAGAAATATTTAGATAGGGACGTTTAATTTCTGTATTTATTATTTTTAAAGGACATATGATGTTGGTTCCAATGTTTTTTGAAATGATGTTTTGTGCATCCAATGTAGATTTTAACTATATCTGGATCTTCAATAGATGAAACATTACATTGATAAACCAATGATTCAACACAACATTTATTATTGAGAGGAAGGTCTTGAGGATTTCTAGAGTTGCGTAATTTTTCCTTATCTTCATTTCTTTTTATTTTAGGATCTAGATTTTTTTGATTTTGGTTTAAGTGTTTACTTAAGATATTAGCATTATGTTTCTTAGTAGTCATTTTTAAGGAAACAGTACAACGGTAACTTAATTTAAGGGTATTTTCATTAAAAATTGTACTGAGTTTACTGTCTCTAGGAAAATGTTTATCAATTAATGCAAAGAATTTTTGTCCTAATTTATTTTTACCATTTGGTTGTATGGAGATGTATGACAAATGATTTTTCTCTTTCTGTTTTTTCTATTGTGTTCATTTTCATTATTTATATAAATGAGTTTTGGGCATTTATAGCCGCTATGCTTTAGAGCTTTATTATAGAAATTACTATGTTCATAGAATATTTTCTCATTTGTTGAATTTGTACTTATTCTCTTTTATTAAAGTAAATGCTTTGTTGTTAATTAAACAGTATTAATTATATATAATTATTAATATTATTATTTTTTTTATATATATATATATATATGGTATAGCACATCAGATCAATTCATTTTGTTATAAAATAGTAAATGTATAAAAGTGGTTATTAAATGTTTATATTATAAAATGGTAAATATATTTTAGTATTTAATAATAAATACAGCATTGTACTTGATGCCTATATTTTTATAAACCTCTAACTAAATATTGCTGAGGGAGTATCTGTAGCTTAATTAATAGCAGTTTCAACAGAAAAACTGTCCTTTTTTTTTTACCGTTTTTTTTTTTTTTGCGGGGGCAGGGGGAGCACTAAGGTCAAACATTGCCAAAATGTTTTTTTATCCACTAACGCAATGAAGTAAATAAGAAATTTTAAAAAGATATTAAAAAATAGAGTTATTTCCCTTGAAAAAAAAAAAAAAAATTCCCACAAGATGTTATTGATATTCTTACTTTTTCTGTTCAGGTTGCAGCAAACCTGGCTGAACCCAAGATATCCAGTGGGAGTTGTAACTTCTGTTGTCATCAACAAGGAGTGAATTACGACTGAATGAGTTTTCTTGCTGTGCTTGGTGCATCTTCTTACAGGCTCTATAAATTCATAAAACAATATAAAGTAAACAAGAATGATATAAATGATGTGGGCATTTACAGTGGTGTGCACTTGTTAATTTTGCACAAATTTTAATGTACACAGACATAATAAGTGAAGTACACAGACATAATAAGTGAAGTGCACAGACATAATAAGTGAAGTGCACAGACATAATAAGTGAAGTACACAGACATAATAAGTGAAGTACACAACAATGTCAGTCCTCCTATATGGTAGTAATACTAGATAAAATTCCTTGCAGATGAAGAGACTTGAAGCAAGAGAAATGTGATTCTACAGAAGGATGCTGAGAATATCATGGACTGAACAGAGGTTGGTTGGTTATTTTTGTTTAGCAGCATATCAACACCTCTATGGGTTATTTAATACTGAAATCTAAATATAAAACTATACTGGACTAAACATGTGAGCAACAGCAAAGTTTTAAGAAAAATGGAACAAAAAGGACACTTATACTTAACATCAGAAAGAAACAGTTGAAATTTCTAGGATACATAGTGAGGAAAGATGGCTTGGAAAATTTGATACTCACAGGATAGATTGAAGGCAAGAGGGACAGAGTAAAACAACACATAACCTACCTAGCACGCATGAGTAAATGGATGGTAGAACAGGATTTAGAAGAGATAACAAAAAGACATAATTTATTAAGACCTACAAAGGACAGGAAATTGTAGAGAGCCATGAACATCCTAAAAGGACATGGCACATTAAAGAAAATGAAGAGAATATAGAGAAAAACAAAGATAATCAAGTGAAAATAAAATCATCAGCATACTTTTCAAATAAATTCTGTCCACATGTCTAAAAAAAAAAAAAAAAAAAAAAATCATATAAAGGTATCCAATAATCTACCCAGCATCACCAGCCTCAAAGGTGACATCGATGCAGTGTCAGAAACAACTGCCTACCTAGATTGGATGATTTTTGTTCATGTTGACTATCAGATTCATGATGGTGGCTTTTAGCTAGTATTGTTAGGAAGTTGTTAGTCTCCCACCCACAGATATCATAGCCCAGGTATTCAAATCATGAGAGCTAGGACAACATCATATACATGTTGGGAGTGACGTGATCATAGAATTTTCTTGGGCCAATATGGGAGGAAAGTGAGATCTGCTGGAACATGTACCACTACCCCCTTGATCTGACACTTGACCATCAACTCCAGCACCATATAGGTTGTGATACTGATCTTGAGGGCTTGTAGAATAAAGTGGGGTGTTATGACATGGATTCCATAGTTTACAAGTCCCATGAACATTATAGACAACATGAAGATGGTGAGCATTACTATGGGTAACACTGTGAGGTCCATGCACAGCCAACTATCATTCCTCCTGATAACCTGGCCACTACAAAAAAGATCACCATCTCCGAGTCACTGTGATTGGCAGCTAGTGTCATAAACATTGTTATATGTTTTTATTCCTTGTGTCAGAATGGAAACTGCAGTGTTAATGCAATCAATCCATCTAAAAGAGAAATGAGAATATTAACATTTTGTACATGCTACATAACATTAAGTTGTCTTCAATTTATGGCCCTATTAACTGTATACAAACACTTTCTCAGATTAATGATTAAAAATGACCTCCACCGAAAGAAGCCTGTATGTTTTAGAGAGGATCATTGTCCTTTGCTAGAATCACAAAAAAGAAAATTATACAAAATAAGAAAAACCAGATCACCTGTGGATTTTCAACAACAGCAACAACTAAAATGGACAGCACATGTAACGCAAGGAGAGAACAATGGTATAATGAAGATAATACCTTTCACATGCCTTCAAACAAAAAGTTAGGAAGGAAACCCCCATCAATACTGATAAGAACGATAATCACAACTGAACATGAAAAACCTATTTTCCTGAAAAATTGTTTTAAGAGAAAACTTTAATAAATTTCAATTGATTGTAGCACTGGCTACTCAGTCAATGAATGTCAAATGTTTTCTTATAAAGAAACAGCTAATATTACCATTAGTATTAAAGATGAGACTTGCAATGAGGGAGGTGCTGCCATATGGTAGGAATGCCTGGGACTAAGCATCCCTTATTTATTTGTTGTGTCCTGTCCAAAGACAGAAACACAATTGAAAGCTAAAATATAGTTTGTCCACCTGAAGGCAGATACTGCACTTTGATCCCAGCTGAAAAGTGTGTAGAGTGTGGTCATCTCACCACACCACAGTGGTTCCATCAGTGGCCATGGTTTGTGCAGCAGTTTTTGGCCAAACAGGTCTGAGAACTACAATATTTCCCAGATCTTGTACCCTGCAACTCTTTCCAGAAATCAAATCCCATTTGAAAGGAACAAGATTACAAGATGCTGAGGTAATCCAAGAGAATATAATGAGGCAGCTGCTTGCTATCCCAAAAAAAAGTTCCAGGAATGTGTCCATCAATTGAAATGATGCTGGATAAAGTGTGTGGCTTCAAAAGAGGACTACAGAGTACCCCACAAGAAACAAGAAAATTTTAGATTTACTATATGATGAAAAAAAAAAAAAAAAAAAATATCAAGTATATATTTTACAATATGAATGAACTAAAAAAATTAATATATAAATTATTTTTTTAACCATTTCTTGTCCCGGGATGTTACAGTTATTGAATTTTCAATGCAAGGTGATTGTTCTCTTTAAGAAAGAACATCCAACTAAGGGACTGAAAAAATGCCAAGAAATTTTGCAAGAGATCTTTTGAACACTACATCTAACATTTGTATTTTTTTTCTGTTTTAAGCTACTAAATTTCTATCCTTTGCTTTCACTTCAAATAACTGTAACAAAAAAACTGTACCAAATTTCCTGGGATTTTTTTTGAGGTGGGCAGCCTGTACTTTGAAGATTAAATGCCAAATTGATGTGTTGTAAATTTTTTTATAGCACCAGTCCCAATACTTTTTGATCAGACCTCGTAGATGAGTTTTCCGCAAGAGAGAGAAGAGAAATGGTGACAAAAATTATGACAAAACTGACTTAATTTTGGTGGCATCAAAAGAGAAAAAAAAACAACAGTTACTTCTTTCTTGATCTATGGACAACACTGTTAAAGAAATTGTTTTTGAAACTAGATTCATTTTCTCCACTCAAATTTATAGAGCTAAGAGTTATTGATTTTTCACTCACCTGTACAAGAGATCAACAGGAGAGGTGAGAACAGCCAAGGTGGACAAGAGGATTGAACACATATTGTGGATGTCATAATAAGGCTGCTGGTGGTAGCCAGGCTCAAGGAGTTTGGAGCTGCTGTCACATACATACATCATTTGGTCAAACATACAGAGAAGAATAGTGGTAATGTCCATCCTAAAAAAGAAAAAAAAAATACAATGCTTAAATAGTATCAAAGACAATTAATAATCAGTCTTTGCCTTGGTCTTTAAAACTTGATGACAAGATTAATTCATAAGAAATTTCTGTCTTGGAAGAGGAGCTGACATTTTGATGTTCACACATTAACAGGTCTTGTAATTATATATATTATATGTTTGTTTGTGTGTGTGTGTTGTGTATGTATGTATATAATGCATAAAAGGTTAATGGTCAGAGTTGAATCAGACAAGGAAACAGTAGTATTAAAAATTGCTCAATACATGTGGGAAAAAATATAAATAAAAGTAAAAATAACATGTTGCTCCTTTAACTTTAATTGACTTCCTGATTTTTAAAGTCTATATATATATATATATATATATATATATATGTATGTATGTATGTGTGTATGTGTGTGCAAATATATAGAAAAATAGGAAAGAACACGTTAGGCAAATAATCCGAAGTTCTTTAGTATTTTTGTTTTTAATTTTAAAAACAGTGCTCAATACATAAGTAGAACTTAATGCAAAGGAATCATATTTTTAAAAAATAATTATAATTATACACACACACACATATATATATATATATATATATATATATATATATATATATATATATATATATATAATAATTGTTCATCAAATATAAGGCCCAAGAGCCACTCTATTTCTCTGTCTTGGTGGAGAAGCCAACAAAATATTTTGCTGGTATACTGTTACAAAATTATTCTCATAATTATTTACATTTTTTTTAAAATAGTCATCCAATAAAGACTCAAGGGACACTCTAGGTAGAGGGTTAATGAATGAGGTATTTGACATGAATGTATGAGGAGAAAGTAGGAAGTGAAGATTATGAGGATATGGCAAATGGATAACGATTGACCCTTAACAAGAACAGGTCAAGATTGTAGTGTTCAGAGAAGTATTCACACAGAAGTCTGTTCCACAAAGTAGCAGTTCTTAGGAAGAAGCGTTCAGAATGGAACATCATTCTAACCAAAAGGAATATGTAAGAGAATGAGGGTGGTTTGACACATAGCAAGGTGGGTCTTGGGTGTAAAGGTCTGAACTGGTGGCACAAAAGAATGGAACTTGCCAGGACATTTGCCACAGAATAAGTGATAGAGTAGCTATAGGTTTGTGATATTGTGTCTGTGGGAAAGAGATTGCTGGGTTGGAAAATGTCAACCCCCACAAAGTCATATAAACAATTTCATGATATTTAAACTGCCTGCTAATTTAGACATTTATTTTAGTATTAGACAAGAAAATTTTAGATTTACTACATGATGAAAAAAAAATCAAGTATATATTTTATTATATGAATGAACTAAAAAAAATTAAGTAACAGATAATTTTTAATCATTTCTTGTTCAAGGATGCCACAGTTATCAAATTTTCAATGCAAGGTGATTGTTCTCTTTAAGAAAGAACATCCAACTAAGGAAATGAAAAAAATGCCAAGAAATTTTGCCAGAGTTCTTTAGATTGAACTCCATATCTAACATTTGTATTTTTGTTCTGTTTTAAGCCACTAAATTTTTATCCTTTGTTTTTGCTTCATCTAGTAACTAATAACTTGGTATTGTGTTATGGTCCGGTTCCTTGTACCATGGTGATAGTCTAAGGTAGAACCAATAAAGAAGAACTCGAACACATATATGGAATAGCACAGATATATTACAAACAGGAATATATACAGAGAAGTAGAAGTGTTAGTATGAACAATCAGGTTTAGTAAAGAGAACAATGTAGTCTCGACCAGTATCACTATTCCAATGTCTTGCAGCAATTGTCTGAACGTGACTGTTTCGGACTGCCTCTGACTCGACTCTTGACTTGAACTACTGACTCCCTGCCTACTCCTGAGGCGCAGTATTTATTAAGTATGGAATAGTCCATTATTATTATTATTATTATGGGTAAGATCCCATAACATATTGTTAGAAAAGAATAAGATGGATAAAAATAAAGGCATAATCAAATACTTAAAAATACTAATAGCATCATTATTCTCCTCATATGTCTCAAAACCAGATGTGGTCATAAGGTCAATGAGCACCTGACCAGTTTCTTCCACATATCTGGGTTGAAAATAAATAGACCTGACAAAGCCCATTCCTCTCCAGGTCAAACCACAGCCGATGTCCTCAACTTGAGGGCAAACTTTCATCATGGACACTTGGCTGTCACTTCTACCCGAGGACACCTCTGTCTTGGCCACTGTCTTCAGTCTAGGAAAACCTCTGCCCAACAATGCCATGTCATCACCACACTAGCTGTATCCATAGCTATGGAGCTCAGTTTACTCCATTGTGCTAGATGGTTGTCGATCCTACAATAAGGTTCATCCACCCTTCAATAGGTCGTGTTCTTAATCCTGCTAGCTGTCTGGTCTAGTCACCGATGATGTGACTATGTGGCAGGTAGGACTGGGATATATCATACCAATAACACCAGTAGAGTGATCCAAAACAAATGTTAATAGTAAATTTACAAAATCATCAAAAAGGAAAAATCTGGAAAAGATTCTTCCAAAAATGGCCTGAGTTATTGCATATCAAACATTCTCTCTCATATAATGTGAACATAGGAACTAAGTTAGCTGTGTTTGAAAACTAAACATAAACTCCACTATGAATGAAATTACTACCAGTTTCACCAATACAATATAAGAAACATATACACCAACAATCTTTTTCATAAAAAAAAAAAAAAATTAAATCCTACTTTTTTATAACAAAAATTAAACTCCCTTTGTAAATGGCTAAAATAATAAAAAAGGAGTCGAACATAGTTTGGATAATCAAGTCAATGAAAACTATCCTTTCCTTAGCTGCATAGTATGTTCTTTGCCAGGGATACATACAGTTTTGAATTCAGAGTTTTCCTTCTCCTAGACAGGTTGCCACCCAAGGCTATAGTCACCATAGCTGGAGGGAGAAGAGATGGATTCATACCTTCCCCAAGGGTATTAGTATGTAAATGAATGAAATGAACTCAACTGGAATTCAAACTCAGCTCTCTGATTAGTCAGCCTGAGCTGCAATTCATTACTCTACCGTGCATCCTTTTAAAACACTTACTGTACCTGGTATTCCCAAGTAGTCACCCATCTAAGTACTAACCAGGCTCAACATTGCTTAACTCTGGTGATCAGATGAGAACCAATGTGTTCAATGTGATATGGCCAAAAGCAATTAGCCACAATCACAAGGGACAGTTTCTGCACACTCTTAATAAAGGAAAAAAGTTTCTTAAAAGGAAAATTGTTAGAAGACAAGAAAAACTGGATAAAAAAATACTTTGCAAAACATTCACAAAAGAAGGATTAATGCCAAAATCTATATAATAAATGTGAATGTCAGTGTGTCACACTTTTTCAATTAAAGGGACACAACTCTCTAACTTTCAATAGTTCATCATCATCTTCTATATGCAAATGCAATATCAGTGTGTCACACTTTTTCAATTAAAGGGACACAACTATCCAACATTCAATAGCTCATCTTCTATAAAATAAATGCAAATATCAGTGTGTCACACTTTTAGAACTTTATTCCTAGAGGCCATAGCTAAACATATTTTCATTACTGGGATTGTTTTCAGTGATTTTTGTAGGTGATCTTTGGAGACAAAATTTTTTGTTTGATAACAATTTTTATAACTTGGAAATAAATTTGGGAATAATCAAAATTAATTGCAAAATTCAGCAAAAGTCACCCATGAAATAAAAATAATTGTTTGTATAGAAAATAAATTAAGTGGCGTCAGAAGAATTATCACCAAACTTTTAAAAGGTAAGCTTAAATATTAATGCAATAGTTAAATGCAGCAATCAATTTTCAGTTCTTCTGTAGTTTATTGTTGCCTATTGCATCTACTCCTCCCTACCTATCAAGAGCCCTCTGCAGGAGCTATCTTAAATGCCGCCTGATAGGGCAGCTTTTAAGCTAGTATACAATATGTGAAGTAGATGTATGATTTTTGAGGGTTTTTCTTTTGTTTTCCTACTCACACATTTTGTTGGTTCCATTTTATATTGGAACAATTGAAAAATACTTTCCCCTTCCCAATTTATAGGCAATACCACACAGATGCATGCTGGGAATTCTTCCTAGCCAATAAGGCCACTTCTCAGTCTCTATGACTCAGTCCTGGATTGTCTTGTTTTGAAGTCAAAACGGTGCGTTCATTAATCCGAATTCACTCATGTGTCAACACCAATTCTTAGTTTGTAAACTTTTTGCCATATTACTGTGGCTTTGCCTTATTACCATTAATTTGCCCTGCATATATTGTTTGCTTGCTTAGTATTATTTTTGCCCCACTCCTTTAATTTCTTTTTCATGTTATTGTTTATTGCAAGATTTGTCAATTCTGACGGTAGAGTAATGGATAGCAGCTTGGATTGAGGAATGGGAGAGCCGATTTCGAATTCCAGTTGAATCCATTACATGCTAATACCCTTGGGAAAGGAATGAATCCTCTTCTCCCTCCAGCTATGAGTAAATAGCAGGACAGACCAAGTTCTATAGCCTTGGATGGCAACTGGTCTACGCAGAAAGAAATGGCAACCTACTGCAGGAAAAAAATATGCCTCGTCAGTCACATATTGAAAGATACATGACCACCTAAGCATATATCATGCATGGCACATAACTGACTGAACCTAGAAAAGGTTACTGAATGAGGAATAACCAAAATGGAGATTCAAAATGAAATGGTAATCTTTATAACATCAATAACATACAATACTCGCCAGCAGCATGGAGTAGGTAAACAACTGCTAATGGTGAACTATTCAGACAGCATATTACCCCCACTTACAATAGTGTCCAATGTATTTATGAGGATTGGGACATATCCATTAGTGTTCATAGATATGGTATATAACATTACATTTAACCATGTCAACTTACTTTACACCTTTCCATTTTTTTGGTATCTTTCCATCACTTTTTCTTTGCTTCATTTTTATTTTAATTGTATTTTCAACACTCTCTTTTGTTAATAATTAGCCACTAGTACATCAAAAATGATATTCTGGAAGCCTCTAAATGATGTAAGGTTTCCAGTTGATGAGTGGCGATAACTGTCAGATGACATTAGTTACCACTATACAAGAGAACCATTAAATATACACACAAACAAACAACAATTAAAAAAAATTACATTTTATTTTTATATGTCAAATGTTTGTTTCCCATAATTTCTTTATTATTTATTTTTCTATATTTGTTAATTAAATGAAAGTTAAGTTTCAAATATTATGAGACATTTCTTTTGGATGATATTGCATTAAGTTAAATTTCTGAAACAGATAAACGTTAAAATGTATTTGGTAAAAATAAATACATTTCTCACCTAAACTGGACAACTCGTCGGAAACTAGGCTTGATGCGTGTGTACCTGCGGGTTAAGATAGCCAGTGACTCATACAGGACTTGTGTGAAGATGTTCTGAGCTAACTTGGGGGGACAAATAGACCAAAGGTCGGTGCGTAAACCATTCAAGTGCTGGTGCCACATTTGGATTGGAAAAGAACAGCGCTCGTTCTATTTTTTTTTTAAAAATGAAAAAAAAGAAAGTGTTAATTACAAATATATAACATATATAATATAATAATAATATCTAACATATATAATATTTCAGTTTAGTTAAAAAAATATATGACATTCTGACACTATTGTGGGTCATAATGCCAAGTATCATTTCAGTTTGGATGGTGGATTAAAGCCTTGCTTTTTGAGTTCAATCCTGAGGCCAGTGGTTCCCAAACTTTTTCTTCTCTGGGCTGCATTTTTGGAATGAAAATTTGCTTATATCTCACCAAATTTTGTGATAAAAAGTACATTTAAAAATAAAAAACAGAGAGAGAGAGAGAGAGTTAAAGGGAGATAACCGTGGATTTGAAGTCAGAAAATTATCATTGATAACTCTCTTCTCCAATCTGTGGACTCCAGTTACTATATATTCTTAATACAATGCAAAAATATCACAATGATAAAACCAGTCAATGATTATTTATAACTGTTTATATTGGAACTCACTTATATTGAAACAACAAGATTGCAAATAGACTTAGTACAATAGATAATAAAACACAAAGTGTGTAGGTGCTCAACAATTGTTTACAAAAGTTATTTGATATTTCGGCCATATTTGTTCTTTGGGAATCAACATAATTGAACATCTTTTGTCTCAAAGACAGGAAATCCACCAAAATTGATTAAAAAGAATTAATAAAGGGAATACACAAAAGCTGCCATGTTTTGATAACATTAATTTCACAACAAAGGAGGCCTAACTATTGTATAAATTATGTAATTTTTTTTAGTTTTTTCTGCTTGAAAAACAGGGCGATATTGTTTCATATTTTTTCCACTAGTTGACACAAAGTATCAAAAGTTTGAAAACTCAGGGCTGTAGCAGCTGGGAGTACCTTAGGTCTCCCAAAATTTTTACCAATTGTAGTATTTTTTACAGGGTTTTATTTAAAAAAAAATATAATTAAGAAATACAAGAAAGAAAAAAAAAACTAACAAAGCATGGAAGAATATAAATTTCATAAAATCCCAATGAAAGAATTTTTCTTTAAAAAAGTGCACAATGATGGTAATTTCCCTTTATCATGTGGGTGCATTTTCATTTTAATTTGGAATTGTGGTGAATCTAATAAAATAAAATATAAAAATAAAAATGTACAAATAGAAAAGAATTCAAATTTAAACCAAAGCATTTGCTTTCACTTAAAATCCTTATCTTTTTTTCTATCTTCCACTCTATTTTTCTGTCTATACATTTATCTCTCAAATAAAAAAAGGAAGAAAATGAAAAGACTAATCCTAGCCAAAAAACACCAGATATTGAGTGGCTAAATAATTTGTGGCAAAAATCTATGAAAAACAAAGTAGGATCCACACATAACTTCTGGTGCATAAAATAAAATAAGAAAGGAACCCGAAAAAGAATTTCAGCCAATCAAATAATAAAGGAGATTTGCATATCTTTGGAGCCTCATCCAAAGAGATATAAACTGACACTCACAGGCAGACAATGAGAGGGACTTGAAACAGAAGATACTAAGAATTAAAAACTACAGCTGTAGGAGCGCCACTATAAAAAAAAAAAAAACAACAGCTAAGCATGTCAAGTTAAGTTGTCAATGACTTCACATATTTTCTGTCCTCATTAGGACTGAACCCAATTTTGACAGATAATGGCCCTACAGCAACCCAACATTCACATTTCTGAAATTGATCACTTTGACAGTTACTAACAGCCTGCCTCATGAACTAATTTTTGTTACTCCAAAATACAAAGGACTCCCCAAAAATAAGGACTTGATTTTTTCCAGACCCAAATAAAAATGAACAAAGTAAAAAAAAAATAATTTTTTTTCTTCATTAATGAATCTATAATATCCCTGCAGACATTAAAATAAAAAAGATGAAAAGTTCTTTCATTTGTAACACATAAGGATCTCTATTATTTCAAAGATGATTTCTGCTAATCTCAAGGCACTGGAAATTCTAAATGTTCTTGCCGCTAACCATGTTGGTAGACTTTGATAACTTAAGGATAAATTCTAAATTCTCCTCCCCCAACAAACATTTGTCTTTGCTAAAGCCCTGAAACTTCAAGCAATTTGAGAAAAATAAAACAATATAAAAGAGATACGTAAACAGCTCCAACACAATTTAATCACTATACAAATAGTGTACACTGGTAACTGTAATTTTAAATCACAAAATATAATTTGTGTGAATACAACATTGGGATTTTGATGGATATGGTACAACTTTTCAAAAGAAATTTACATAGGAATGGCTGTACGACAGTGTAATATTATACTTAAGGATAAAATTTATTTACTGTTTTTAGCTTCAGAAACACAAGGTCATGTTATACACAAGAAAATAGAGTAAAATAATTATTTCGTTACTTATTTTAGTGCATCATTTTACTTACAATTATTGCCACATGATGCAAAAATATAATCAGTGCATTATTCCAACAAATTGGCCATAAATAATCAATACTCTTTTTATAGCAATCTCTCATTTATATCTATATTATTACGACTGGTTTTGCAATTATATAAGTAGCCAAGTAATCGTTCCAAGTAACGTGTTAATTGAAATAAGTGCTGTGTAATTTGTTGAGTATTATAAAGGGATTTTTCATTTAGTGTTGAATATTTAAAACTTCTGAATTATATTATTTTTTAGATTCTTTTGCAAGATCTTTACCTGGACGTCTTGCTTCTCACCAATCAAATGAATGTCTTCTTTTATTTGAATCTTTCATATTCATAAAATGACATAGTTTCAATTGTCTTAGTGCTTTATTTAGACAATTTTATTGGAAATAATCAAAAGTGCCATTTAGTAGTAGTAGTAATAATAATGCATTGATATTCAGAGAACTTAAAACGACTACTTGCTTACTTATTTTAGTGCATCATTTTAATTACAATTATTTCCACATGACACAAACAATAGTCAGTGCATTAGTTAAACAAATTGGACATAAATAATCAACAGTGCCTTTTTTGTAGTCATATGTCACTTATATTATTACCAGCTAAGACTCTTTTTACATTTTTGTAATGTTTTATCAATTGGAGATAACTTGAATAAAAACATTCCACATTATTCATTTCATTGTAGACAAAAATGACAGCAATTCTTTTATTGCAACCTGTTTATTATTTCCAAGAATGTTTTAAGGTACAAGAGTGTAACAAGAATGAAAGCTATCTTTGCTGGATGTAAGAAGCAGTGAGGCAGGCGGAGGAAAGCAATGTCTGCTCTAAAAGTCAATTACATAATAACTCTTATAATTTGCATTTGCTTATAATAAACTTAATTTAAATTCATAATAAATAATAAATTTGCATCATCTTAAGTTTTTGACATTTGATTTAATGCTTTCAATCCACTTTTATAAGGTTTGAAAAGTAACGCAATAATCAATTTACTGTTTTAGATAAAAACTTTAAAAGCATTTATCATTGTGAGTGATTGGAATGTGCTAATATTTTTCATACCAAAAATTTATTAAAGCATGATAAAAGTTATTGAACATGACAATATTTCTATGTCAAATTATTTAAGCTGATTAAATTGAAATTTTTAAATAAAAAGTTATGATTTTTGTAAAAATTACTGTAAAATTTAACTCATTTGTTTTTATATTTATTCCTTTTTAAAACATTAATATTTTAGCTTTTTAATTTTTTTTTGATTATGTATAGTTGGAATGTGTATAATTGGAATTCTTTATACAGAAAATGAATGTAAAGTGTAAGATATGATAAAAGTTATTTTGAGCATAAAAATTAATTCATAAAAACATTTCCATATCAAATTATTCAAGCTGATTTATTAATAATAAAGTTAAAAAAATAACATTTTGATTTTGGGACAATTTAAAACTTTTTAAGATAACAGAAGTCATTTTTTGGGACAGTTCCTGGATGATGCTGAAAAAAGTTAGTTTAGAGCCTTGCTTTAAATAATTCAACCACCAGGAGAGCTATTCATTGCACTTTCTTGGTTTCAAATTTTCCATTGAAATGAAGTGGAGTGATTATATTGAATCAACTGCTAGGTCAGTTGCTAGGAAAGTTGGTTCACTGTGTCATGTTTGACAATTTTTCTTGACAGAATCCATCTTGCACGTTTATAAATCTACCATTTGTTTGTACATTGAATATTGCAGCCTTATCTGGTCTGGTGTTCATGCTGTATAACTTGAGATTTTTGACAAAATTCAAAGAAGGGTCTGTAATGTAATTAATCATGACCTGATATCACGACTTCAGTTACTTTCTCACCAATGTGATATGGGTTCCTGCTGGCTTCTCTACAAATATTTTCATGGCAACTGTTCTGATATGCTTTTTTTCCCCTAGTGCCTCGACTAAATTAATTTAAACATGCTGCTAGATTGGCAACCAGGTTCCACTGTTTTACTGATGAACTAACTAGTTGCAACTGTCACTTCTATTCTAATAGTTTCTTTTCTCGCACTTCTACCCTGTAGAACTCTCTTCCATTTTCTTGCCTCCTTGCCACCTACAATCTTCAAAAGTTTAAATGCAACATCAATCGCCATCTTCTGCCTTCCTGAACCATGTTCCTTTATTGTTCTTTCTCCTCATTAAAGTCTTCTCATTCTCTTTCTACATATCTCAAAATCCGAAGTCTGCAATTTTATTGGTCCTGTTCTAGGATCTCAACTTCAGTTACTTTCCCACTGCCATGATGTGGCTTCCCTCTGTCTTTTCTACAAATATTTTCATGGAAATTCATCTGATGAGTTTTTCTCCTTAGTGCCTTGATTGCATGAATTTAAGAATACTACTAGATTGGCAATTAGGTCTCATCGTTCTACTGTTGAACTACCTAGATGTAACCATAAGTTCTATTCAAATCATTTCTTTTCTTGTACTTCTCGGTTCTGGAACTCTTTTCTGGTTTCTTGCTTCCCTGCCACCTACAATCTTAAAAATTTTAAATGCAACATGAATCGCCATATTCTGTCTTCCTGTATCCTGTTCATTTATTGTTTTCTTATTTTCTTTCACTCTCATTAACCCTTTGCATCTTAGTGGCATTATTGCCTTTCTTGATTAAAAAAAATGTGAGTCAGACTTACTTCATAAAATTCCTTCTCTTCAGCCCAATGGTAACTCTCCGCATCATACAAGATGTTGGACAACAGGTTGTTATGAACTTGAGTTACTTGATGAGTCAAAATGTCTGTAAGTTCCATAAACTGTTGATAGCGATTCAGGAAGGACTTTTTCCTGTTGGGAGAAATGTCAAAAAAGAAAAAGAGAACACAGAGTTAAAATAGATAAACCATTGTCAAGTATTAAATTTTTGACTATTGTTTCTTTCATGTTATTACTGCTGCTTTTTTTTTTTATTGAAACTTTCAGAATCATTCTATGATCATTGTCTATTAGAAATGATAGACTATGATGTTCTGACAGTTGCAATAAAATAAAAAAAGTAACAGAAATTAAATAGTCAAAAATTAATAAGGGAAAATCAAGACAAATTAAAATTTAAAAAGAAACAATATTTTATAAAGAAATTGGTAGCAAAACTTTTCACATTTATTTATGACATCTGGACAAATAATGGTACTGAACCTTTTTGCAGAATTTTTCATTTCACCATTAACACATGTTTAAAATGAATAAAAGTGTGAAAAAGTAAACTGTAATCCTGCTGAAAATAAGGTTTATATTATTTTTCATAAATACTTACCACCATTTAAATTTTATTTAAAAAAGATTGATAAATAAAAATAATTCACAGGCAAACATTAGATGTTTAAATCTATTTAAAACTTTTGGAACAAATGTGCACATATTTCCATTTTATAGTGTGTACAAAGATTCCATAAATTATGTATCAAATTATAGATCCAATCGTTTGTATTTATTCTTTATCATTTATGCAGGTTTGGTCGAAAATCAATTAAAGTTCTTTATTATTTTTATGCAGTCCTGACCATTTCTCTGGTTTCTGGAAAGAATTTGAACACAAACTATCCAATATCTTCTGAGTGTAGTTTTTCACTTCTGAGATGATTAATTGTTAATATTTTTGTACTATTTTGAACTGTTGTTCTTGCTTGATATAGATGTTACTGACACAATGTTTTGATCAAGTAACCTCTGGTCATGATCAGATGTCCATTGGTTAGCTGATATGGGATATCATCTCTACATACAAGCCACCAATCTGCCACTGGGTGTCACACCACTAGCGTTTACCACTGGTGTCTTGCCAATGTGTTCGTCTAGGCAATGTTGTCATAGGAAGACTGCTAGAAGCCCATTGGTAGTTGCCGCCAGAGGACCGCTGGCATTGCCATTGGTGGCCAGCCAGCAGGCTGCTAGCAGCTTGCATGTAGGGGATTTAATTATTGTAATATTTTGTCTCTGCAATCTTATTTATTGTTTGTTCTTACTAAACTGGGACAAAATATTACAATGATCAATGGATAATCCTATATCAGCCAATCAATGAACACCTGGTGATGACTAGAGAGTACTTGGTTGAAACATTATGTTTATAATAACATCTGTATCAACCAAGATGCGAAAAATAGTTCAAAATAATACAAGAATACTGACAATTACTCATCTCAGAAATGAAATACTAAATTATGAAAATGGTATGAAATCACCATCATAATTAATGTCAAAAACCATCTGACATTGAATATAAAAGGCTCCAAAAATATATCACTAATGCCCTTTGGGATGGTGGATATAGAAGTTGGCTATGCATATGTTACTGTCATCTAGTGGTCATGAGTTCAATTCTTGGATTTGGTAGTGAAACACCAATTCATCAGGAATGAACAATAATTGATATCACAGTGTCTTATTTTTTTTAATTGTGAAATATATTTAGTATCATTGTTTATAAATTGAATTTTATTGATGTTAGGTACTTTCTTATTATAGTTAAGACTTGTAATAATTTTTAGCATTCTTTTTTACAGTTTATGCAGTATTGTATTTTTTATATTTATTGGATTTCTTGATTTTTTTTTTATCAATTTTCGATCAGTATATATAGCAATTGTTAGCTATAAATATTTGCATGCAATCAAACTATCCAATATCTGACACCACCTTCTATGTCAGGACACCAGTGGTAAAAGTTAGTGGCATGACACCCAGTGACAGATTGGTGGCATGCATGTAGAGATGATATCCCATATCAGCCAACCAATGGACACCTGATCATGACCAGAGGGTAATTGATCAAAACATTGTGTCAGTAACATCTACATCAAGCAAGATGAGAACAATAGTTCAAAATAATACAAAAATATTAACAATTATTCATTTCAGAAGTGAAAAACTATATTCAGAAGATATTGGATAGTTTGATTGCTTCTAGCAGTCTTCCAATGGCAACATTGCCTATTTCATTAAAGTAATGATATCTCATATCAGCCAACCAATGGACACCTGATCATGACCAGAGGGTAATTGATCAAAACGTTGTACATATGAATTACTAGATAGAATTCAGTGTATTTGGGCAAGTTTTTCATTTATACAAGTTCTGGCTAAAGATGAATGAAAATTATTTTGTTAAAGATTTTTTTTATATATTTTGGATCATTTCCTGGTTTCTGGCAGATATTTAAATAAAAACTGTCCAAGGTTTGAGGACTTTTGGCTTTCATAAGCCATTATCAAAGAGTTTTTGTCTTTTGAGTAATATCAATTTCTTCATTTCTCAAATAATATGACACCACCTATGTTAGTTTTTTTTTTAGATTATCACATCTTCACACGATAGTTCATGTTAGTGTGCAGTTTTTTATTCATAGAATACATTTGGTATGTTCATTAATACACAGAACACATTTACAATTGTTATATATATATATATAAGAGGGGGCATGGTGGAGTAAGTGGATAGCGGCTCAGAATGAGGAATCAGAGAGCCGAGTTCAAATTCCAGTTGAATCCATTACATCCACTTATGTGTTTACCCTTGGGATATGAGTAAATAGCAGAACAGACTGGGTTATATAGCCTTGGATGGCAACTGGTCTAGGAGAAGGACAACTCTGAATTCAAAACCTGCGGAGGGTCGTTTGGGAACCTTGTGGTATGTAGTGCACCACGTCTCTGTATTTGGCCCTTCAAAAAGTGTGGTCGGTTATACACAAAGCTTTTACCACTACAATCAAATCATGTGTGCTGGTGTTTGGCTGTTGGTTCCTAGGGACTGAGCTGCTTGACCATCATACATTGAATATGACAGGAGAATCCACCATATATATGTCATTCACAGACAGTACTGTTTCGCTGTATCACAGCTCTTCAGTGCAACTAGACATCTGAATGCCTCAAGCCAGGATTGAAACCCAACTGACTGGAATGTATGGTAATCTGAGTGAAGAGGGTATGCTTTCCTTAAAATTAAAAAATAGAACCTTGCTTGCTGTGATATTCTTTGGGGCCAAGCTGTAAAGCATGTCGGATCAAATGGTGGTTTCTCCTATAAAGGGGGAAGAAGGGGAACACATTTTCTTTACTTAGATTTCTTGAATATGCAGGCCGCTAGATGTAATACACACTGTTTAATAAATAAAAATGGGGCGTCTATTTCAAATATGAAGTATCCATTATAATAATGTTTCAAGTAATTAAATCCCATGTTTTCATTGGCAATGTATGACAATAACATAACACTAGGATCATCTTGGAAATAACCTATTTGGTGGCTTATAAGACTCATTACATTCTCAACTACTTTGTCAGGAAACATTAAGAAAAGATTTTTACTTTATTTATGGACAAGCTTTTGATGTTTGTAACAATATTCCCTATCAGTATTACTTAAAAATATAGTCATAATTTCAAATTTCTTACAAAAAAAAAAAAAAAAAAAAAACAACCTATTTCCATGTAAAAATTATACAATATATAATGGTAGGTATGACAGGAATCATGCATACAAGCTCAGAAATATTTACTGCTAGACGTTTTACATTTGGGTCCTGAATGAAGTGCTTAATTTTAACAATAATTTCCTTTTTTAAATTTACGTGCCCATCTTAATATAATAATGATGGTATTTGAATAAATAATATTACATTATAGTGGAGGTGGCTTAGTCCAAGTAATGTATGGTATCTAGGTAAACATTAACCAACCAAATATCTCAAGTTCACATATAAGACCTGGGCAATATTTTTTTAGCCATTTTTTTTACTATATTATATATACTATAAAATACGGTAGACCCTGGAATGATATATTGGTTAGAGATAATGAGGACGAAGATGATTGCTCGGTAAACAAGTGATACCTGCCACAAATATGAATTAATTTTTTTTTTTCTATTTTATATTATTAAAAAAATTTATTCTTTTCTTATATTTTTTTTGTTAAAACCAAGTAAAGCATATTAATGGTGATAAAAGTTTCAAACAATACATAAATGCAATACAAGATGAGAAATGAATGAGACATCTCAAATATTGTCATAAGCCTTAACTCCAAATGCAGTGATGAAAGTTGGGAGAATGTGAGAAGCCATTTTGAGATCAAGTGGAGAAAAAGGGAAAAATAAGACAAGCAATAAGTCAAATTGTATTTTAGCAAGAAAGTGAGATGAAAGAAAAAACAAAAAGTAAGCAGATAAAGCAAGCTTGGATAAAAAAAAAGCATCTTTCCAGCATAAAATGTGACATACACAGTGAATAAGTGCCAAATAAAGCACTGACAAAACACTGCAGATCAAACATTAGCTTTTATTTTTGTTATTAAATGTTCAATATAAGGCCCAAGAGCCACTCAAGGGTTGCTAAATGAGGTTGTACGGACATAGGAGGAGGAAATAAGTGCAGATTATGAAGATATGTAACAGTAGACCCTAGACTTAAAGAGGTTAAGATTTTAGTGGTCAAGAAAGCATCCTCTCAGGAGTCTGTTCAATAAAGTAGCAGCTCTTGAGAGGAAGCTTCCCAAATGAAATACAAACAGAATGTGGATATGGTTTGCCTATGTATATGGTATATCAGGTCTTAGCTTTAAATGCCGGAATTGATGAAATTAACTTATATATATATATATATATATATATATATATATATATATATACACTTTTTTAACATTTATTAACAGTGTTATCTTAGATATCAAGAAAAGAAAATTCGATGTTATTAAAAAAATGATTGGGATTGCATTTGAATTTTTGAAGACCAAAGTTGATTGGAAAACAAGAAGCTGGAAGTCCACCACTAGCTGTTATTGCC